GGAAAAAAAGCTGATTATTTCAGTGGCAATTCAAGGGACATGAATAATTGGAAGACTATATCCTTCAGAAACACACTACTTCTGAAAAATGACCTGAAAGATGGCTGCTATAGCCTTGGATTCACTGATAAATTTTGAAAAAAAAAGTATTCATATTTCACTGCCCAGTTTGTTAGATTTCTGTCTTCAATTTTGACAAAGAAGTAAATGTCACCAAAATGCAAACAGAGCAAGCTGCTGTCTACTGTTCATTGCAAAGCACCTCAAACTATCTCTGGGCTTGTTGCTTGTGTTCCAACCCAGCCACCTTAAGAACTGGTGTTCATACTCATTTTTTTATTGGTTCTTTTTAGTTATAAGTGACAGTAGAATCTTTTATGACATAATAATAAAAGCATGCAATATATCATGTTCTAGTTTAGACCCCAATACCTCTCCTTCCCCTTCCCTTTCCCCAATTCCTAGTCCCTTCCCTCTATTGATCTTTCTGCCATTTACTCACAGTTATGTTTTTAATTAATTTCTCATGGAAGTACTCAATGGTGAGATTCACTATGGCATATTCATGCATGTATTTAGGAAAGTTATGTCAGATTCATTCCACTGTCTTTCCTTTCCTATCCCRCTTCTCTTCTTTATCTAATCTACTGAATTTCTACCCTCCTCCCTTATTGTGGGTTAGCTATCACAAATTCGTGAAAACATTCAACCTCTGGTTTTGAGGAATTGCTTATTTCACCTACCATGACAGTCTGCAAATCCATCCACTTACTGTCAAATGTCATAAAGTCATTCTTCTTTATGGCTGAGTAATATTCCATTGTGTACATATGCCACATTTGCACCTAGGTTGGTCACACAGCTTAGCTATTGTGAATTGTGCTGCTATAAACATTGATGTGGCTGTGTCCCTGTAGTGTGGTGATTTTAACTCCTTTGGTGGAATACCTGGGTCAAATGGTTGTTCATTCCTAGTTTTTTTAGGAATCTCTATATTACTTTCCAGAGTGGTTGCACCAATTTGTAGTCCCACCAACAGTGTGTGAGTGCACATTTTCCCCCATGTCCTAACCAATATTTATTGTTACTTGTATTCTTGTTAATTGCCATTCTGACTGGAGTGAGAGGAAATCTTAGTGTAGTTTTAATTTACATTTCTCTAATTTCTAGAGATTTGAACATTTTTTTCATGTATTTTTTGACGACTCATATTTCTTCTTTTGAGAAGTATCTGTTAAGTTCCTTTGCCCATTTATTTATTGGGTTTTGTTGTTGTTGTTGTTGTTGTTGTTGTTGTTTTTGAGTTCTTTCTACATCCTGGATATTAATGCCCTATCTGAAGTGCAGATGGCAAAGGTTTATTTCACATTCTGTAGACTCTCTCTTCATGCTTTTGATTCTTTCATTTGCTATGAAGAAGTTTTTTAGTTTGATATCGTCTCATTTATTAATTTTTTATTTTACTTCTTCCACTTTCAGAGTCTTGTTAAGGAAGTCAGTTCCTGGGCCAATATGTTGGGAGTGTTGAGCCTACATTTTCTTCTGACAGGTGCAGGGTTTCTGGTCTAATTCCTATCTATGTCTTTGGGCCACTTTGAGTTTTTTCTTGAATTACACAGTTCTTAAATTGAGCTTGCTACTTCAAAAAAGGAAGTTTATTTTTTTTAAGTTGTTCCATGAAAAAACAGCTAAAGTAGGAAGATTCTGATGTAGAATCAAAGAATTAACCTTGGATGTCAAGGGGTTTTTTGTTGTTGTTGTTTTCCTTTATTGTTATTTCTTTCAGTCAATCTATATATAGACACAGATGTGGTTGTATATTTTGGGTTTTACATGCACTTCTACATAGAGAGACAAAGAGACAGAATTTTCTTGCTAAAAATTATAATCAATTCAATATTCCCTTTTTGTTACCTTTTTTCAAATTGTCTTTTAGCTCCATCTCCTCCTACTGATAAGAAGGCTATAGTGTAGGAAACTTTTGTCCTGATGACAGAATTTTTGAAAGCAGAGCTCATTGAAGCTGATTCCAACATGGTTCTTTGAAAACATGAGCTTTTTTTTTTTTTTTTTTGAATTCTCATGAACCATATCTGCAATGTTTAGAAAGACTGAAAAACAAGCTCTTTAAAAGTACTTAAGAATAAATCCATAAACCACTAGTTTAAGAAGCATATGTGTGGTAGATAAACTCTAAAATAGAACTGACTCTCTCCCCTCCTCGTGCTGTAAYTCTGTTCCTGTGTGGATTGTGGTGGGCTGTTAAGAGGAAGCCACCACATACCTGAAACCTGGAATGTGCTTGAACTCTTCTAACCCTTTCAGGAAGTTAGATTTTACTATCCCACACATAAGGACAGAAAATCTCTTGGCTTGATCCTGAAATGCTTTAGAAAACCCAGTGGAATGAATGGCACTCATATGACATTTAGCTAGGCAGACTTTGGTCTCTGGGCTAAATTTTGGCCCAGGAATATAGGCGAAATGAGAAGGAAAATGAACCTTATTAGAGAAACTAACTTTTATACATTTTTCATTTCATTGTCTGTGTCTTAGAGGTTCATTTGAAGATTCTACAACCAGATTTTACACAGCATGTGTGGTGGAAGCTTTTGCCTATCTGCATTCCAAAGGAATCATTTACAGGGACCTCAAGCCAGAAAATCTCATCCTAGATCATCGAGGTTATGCCAAACTGGTCAGTGCATTTCATACATGGGTTCTGTTCTGAAGTTTTAAAATATCCATTTATAAAACTGTTTGCTAACATTAAAATCAGGTTTCCACTGCAGTGTTACAACTTTTCTTAAAAGTAGGATTTAGCATTATAGTTTTCAACTAAATATATTTTCAAATTATGTAAAAGTTATAAGAAATTATGTTGTCTAAGTTTCAGACACTACTCTGGCAAAACATGCTTTCTGACAAGCATTAGGAAACACTATTCCTGGTGCATGTTCATAGACCTAAAAAAGCTTATAGGTTATTTTTCCTAGTCAGACTCTGCCATCCAAAGGCAAGGCACATTTATAATATAGACAACTGTGAACCATTTTAATAGTATTTATTTAAGAAAAATGCTAATGGTAAAAATTGAAGTCTGCCAATAATGTTCTCAGGTGRTGATGATGATGATGATGATGATGGTAATGTCAAAAGTTCTAAAGATTTACTGTAGAATGGAAGTTCTCCTATTTTAAAATGTACAAATTTTCTGGGTCTTGGATCTGTCAGTGCCTGATTCCATTTTTAAGCTTTGGGGATTTTTTATATAGCATATGGTTCTTAAAGAAATCAAATCAATACAGTTAATTATTTATAGTGACATCCGAATTGTTTTAGAAAAGAAATAGATTTTCTGCATTTGCAGCTCCTCTTTTAAAAGGTTTCTCAAAAAAAAAAATAAGGTTCCACTCTTATTTTATTAATGTTTACCAGGGGCAGATTCGTGTATACTTTTTAAATATTTTTTTTAGTTGTAGATGGRCACAATACCTTTATTTGTTTATGTGGTGCTGAGGATAGAACCCAGGACCATTTATTTCAACGATAGCATGCCTTCTCAAATAATTAATATTAATAAAATTGTCAATTGCATAAAGTCCAGCATAAATCAGTATATTCTGGGAAAGATGTTGGGTAGGAGCACTTGGACTTTTAATGTTTTTGAGTAAAGGGGAAATTTTTTCTTTATGCCACAACTTCTGGTGGCATAAAAGTAGGAAAAAAATGAAAAATTCTTCAGGAAAKAAAGTTTGCTTTTCTTATTAATGATGTGAATTTAATTCAATATTCGGGTCCAACTTTTCCCACTGCAACAGGATTCAATCAGGGTAACATTGTTTGCAGGATACATGATTCCTTTTAGAAAAGAAAATTATAATAGCCTGGATCTGTTATTTTTTTATTTTCATGATTCAGCAAAATAATTTATTGCATTACAACCTAATCATAAGTGGCTTACTATCTTATCTTTCTCTCTTTTTAAGGTTGATTTTGGCTTTGCAAAGAAAATAGGATTTGGAAAGAAAACATGGACTTTTTGTGGGACTCCAGAGTATGTAGCCCCAGAGATCATCTTAAACAAAGGTCATGACATTTCAGCTGACTATTGGTCATTGGGAATTCTAATGTATGAACTTCTGACTGGCAGGTATGGACATTTATAGGGAACTGCTAGTAAAAATAGACCACAAACAATTTTACATTCCTGACTTTGTCACTGTGATTAGTCCATCTAGGTAGATTTCAGCATATCTCACACTTCAATTAGTTATGCTAATGACAATTCACAAAGATCTAAAATACRTCCAATGAAGACAACCAAATCGATTCCAAATTTTAGTCTCATTATTGCTAAGTCCTTATATGTATGTGAATGTAGATGGATCCAGTGTCTTWATTTGAGATTTGAATCTAATCTTGTAGCTGACAATGAAGCAAGGGAAATGATAATCTTAAAATTTCAAAGGTTAACATAGAAGTAAGAGAACTGTTTAGCAATTTTATATATGTATGTGAATTCACAACATGTGAATATGTTGCTGACTATTTGTATAATATTGTAATATTGTAATCAACAACAACCAAAATGGGCATTAGGAATATCACATGGCATAAAACAGATTACAAGCTCCCCAAAGACCAATATTAACAGAGAAGTGACTACATAACTATGAAATGTAGTAAGAACAGAAAGTGGAAGGGCCTTTATGATCCACAGAGTTTGGTAGAGAACTACATTTGTCCAGAAGACTTTTCAAGAATTGAAGACCTATAGTGCCAACCCTTTAAAAGGAAGACTGGGACTTAGATGTAGAGAGGAAAAAGAAAGGACATCATAGGCATGGCTTTCCTTAAAATTTAAAATAGAATTATAGTCTATGATCCAGTAATCCCATTATTGGGTATATAGCCAAGAAAATAAAATCAGTCTGTTGAGGGACATCTGCACTCCCCTGTTTATTGCAGTCTTATTCACAATAGCCCAAATATGGAACTATCCTAAGTATCCATCAGCTAATATATGGATAAAGACAATGTGGTACATATACTCCATGGAACACTTGTTTGACCATTTTAAAGGATGAAAGACTGACTTTTGCCACAAGCAGTGTAGAAAGGAGCTGGAGGTCTTTATGTTAAGTGAAATGAACCAAACACAGGGAGACAAATATTGTATGATTTACTTCTGGGTAGAATTTGGAAAACTTGATTTTTAGAAATTGAGTGAAGAACAGTGGTTATCAGAGGCTGGAAAGCATACAGGGGAGTGATGGAATGGGGAGAGGTTGATCAATGGGTACTAAGGTACAGTTGGATAGGAGTTAGAAGTGCTAGTGTGCTACTGCACAGTAAGGTGACTATAGATGTCAATACTGTGCTGCACATTTCAGAAAGCTACAAGAAAGGACTTTGACAGTTTTCACTATAAAGAAATGATAAACATTTGTGGAGATAAATGTTTCTAATCTAATTTAAGTATGATGCAAAGTATACATGTATCAACACATTATATGGAATCCATTAATATGTATGCTTTTTATGTTTTATGCATCAGTTAAAAAAATAAAACTTTTTAAATGTCAAAAAAATTGAATGAAAAGAAAAAAAGTGTAGCTGTAGAGATAGTACATAGGTTGGAAAAATGGAAAAGTAAAGATCCAGAAATTTTTGTAGAAAGAGGATGTAGAAGTCAATGGAAATAGAAAAGCACAATTGTATGTGTGAATAGGATATTACAAGTGGGAAGGAAAAGCTTAATTGCATAATAGAAAATTCATCACATAAATACTTGACCAGTGTATACTTTTTTAAATATATTTTTTTAGTTGTAGATGGACACAATGCCTTTATTTATGTATCTTTATGTGGTGCTGAGGATAGAACTCAGGTCCTACACACATGCTAGGTGAGCACTCTACCACTGAGCGACAACCCTGGCCCCTCAGTGTATACTTTTGATATCTGGTGATCATGATATAACCTTCAGAATAATAACACCACAATGCGTCAAGTATGATTTTCCAAATTCAGTGACAAAGATAATCATATTACCATCAAAATTACATCATGTATGGTGAGGAGGATTTCTAGACACCTTTATTGCTTAAAGATAATATACCAAGTATTATGTAGTTCTTGGAGAATGTTATGGTATAAACCCAAGTAATTTATACCAAGACAGTTTATTCTTAAAATACAAATGCAACATATAATGTACTGGGACATTTCTCAAAAACACTTCTACATGACCCACTCCACAGAAAGATGAGTCCAAATAAAGCACTMAGGATCAGAGAAACTAGAAAAGGGATCAATGGAGAGTTTTGCATTAAAAACTAGAATTTAGTTGAAATAATTTAAATTTGTATTWCTGTACAGAATTTAAGTCTTATAATTTTTAACAATCTTAAAACAATACCAAAACCAACCAAAGTTGAAGTAGTAGTAGGAAAATAGAACTAACTATATRTATACTTATACCTCATCATTTATAATTAGGAATCTTAATTGTTTTGAAAAGCTGAAGCATGTTATTTTWAAAAAGAAAGTATAAATTCAAAGTTTTTATAAATTTCTTTACTTTAGAGAAAACTTTCAGGAATTTATATTGTCATTGAAGAATTGCTATTTGAATTTTACCATTTTTCTAGTTTTACTCCTCAGTTGAATAAAGTCAAAGTAAATTGAATGCCTATATTTTTCAAAATCGAGTGTAATATAATCTATGTTTTTCCATCCACACAGATAAAAATACGAAATTATGTTAATCAAATGCTGATAATTAATATTTGGGGTATTTGATAACTTTTTACTTTTAAGTAATTTTAAGTTTTACATATTGCTGAATATTTAAGACTGTATGTAACTTCTGAAAAACCACAAAAGCCCTCTTTAAAAAATTGTTCTATTTATCTAAGATAAACATATAAATATAAAAGCAAAATCATGAATTAAAATGCATTAAATTCATAAAAAATGCCAGATTTGTATCTTCCTCACTTTTTAAACTAAAGATCAAAATTCCTAAGAAACAGAATACTCAATTATAACATCACATAAAACTTTTTAAATTTTAAGAGAATACTAAACATAATTTCATGTTCATTCATTTTAAAAGTGACTAAAATTGACTTACAGCTAATAACATATTAAAGTAAACAGAAAATAATTATTACAGAAAATGAGGCAGATAGCGTCACATCCCTCAACAAAAGCAAATGGGCTTCTATTTTACGTTTACTGAATAAAAGAAAATAGTTCAATCTTCTATTAATAAACATGTAGTACAAAAATAAAATAATCCACAAGATTTCTTCTCAAAGAAACAAAAACYCTGGATAAAGTATAATTGAGTTGATTGGCATGACAAAGGCCAAAGAGTTAAGGGATAGTTTCAATGATCAGGACAGCAAGAAGCTAGGCACCTACAGAACTGAGGGGAACAGCAGAGAAACCTCACCCATTTATGGTTTTTGCCAAGAGCATGCATAGTGTTTAGCTGCTAATTGAATTTCTTTTTGTTTTCACTACTAATGTAAGCCCCAACATAAGAATTGCTATCATTTTTGGAGTTTATAACAATTTCACCATTCTTATTTAGAAAGTAAAAATCATGTCTCTGATCATGTCTTGCTCTCATTCTCTTAGCCCACCTTTCTCAGGCCCAGATCCTATGAAAACCTATAACATCATATTGAGGGGGATTGACATGATAGAATTTCCAAAGAAGATTGCCAAAAATGCTGCTAACTTAATCAAAAAACTATGCAGGTAATTGTTTTAAACACATTGTTTTTGAAAGGATCATAATGTGAAAATAATTAGATTACTTAACAAAATGATTATTTTTTTTTCAGGGACAACCCGTCGGAAAGATTAGGAAATTTGAAAAATGGAGTAAAAGATATTCAAAAGCACAAGTAAGCCCACTTTCTTAATAACTTTTAGGTGTCAGAGTTCAGAAAAGTGTTTCTGTAAGGTGGTGTATTTTGATATGTGTAGAGTTATTGGTATATAAGGGATACAGCTCTCCTACAGGAACAGCCAAAGAGCTTGTAGAGATAAGTTAGCCTTTCCAAGGCCCTTCTTCCTGTGTCTGGAGCTGTACTTAGATACATGTGACAACCCTGTGGCTTCTCAAACAGCAAATTCACTGATTCAGTTGCTCTGAAYTCACACTAGCTAGCATTTCTTTTTCCTCTCTGGCCCAAAGGGGGAAAAAAATGTTGATTTTTAATTTAGGAACTCTACTCCCTACTACAATATTAAAAACAAAGTTGCCCACTATAGCTTACCTAAGTTTTTTAGATTAAAGCCAAAATATATATTTTTCCAACTATTTTCCAATTAAATATAACAGGAAAGCAGTGCAGAGYACACCCTTTTTGAAATAACAGGTATCATAAGAACTTACCTAGGTTCGCTGGATGTTCCAAAGCTAATCTAAACATAGACTGATTTTTCTCTTAGCCTGCTTGCCTGACACTCCCAATAAATTCATACCTTTATCAAAGGAACTTATTTACTGAACTATCTGAATATCTAGAAGGCCTATTAAGAATTTGGTGTACACATTTGCTAATGGTGGCATCTTCATAGAACAAAAGGAAAACACCTTCCTGTGCCATATGTGGTTCTTATTTTCACAGAAAAGCTGTATTTTTTTAAATATTCTTTCTATGTTAAAAAAGGAAAAAAAAGTAAGGAAATTGGGATATGAAGAGACAAACAGAGGACTATGAAAAGGGTAATTAGCTTAGGCTGCACTATGAATCAGTGGCAGAGATGGAAAGTTAATTTTCTGTCCTCACTTCATCTCCTGACTCTATCTCCTTAAAATAAAGGGTCTAGTACGGCACAGGGCCAAGCATATTATGACACTTATAAATTATAATGACAATAGGGGAACAAGGTCATACAGATATTACGACTGAAATGACAAGAAAAACAGTTGCATAGCGGTTGGTGTTCAAATTTGACAATCACACTTTCAAAATATGCTTTTTATGAGATAAGCTAATTGAAAAACATCTGATTCAAGAGAAAACATTTTGTCACAGGAAGATATTAGCCTAATTGCTTTCTAGGGCACACAGACCCTACGTGTTGTCCTGGAAGACGCCAGAAAAGGTACTATGCCTCTGATGATGTTTTTTCCTTTCCTAGATGGTTTGAGGGCTTTAACTGGGAAGGTCTGAGGAAGGGCACCTTGACTCCTCCCATCATACCAAGCGTAAGTGACTTTCCATCTGAAATTGTGTGACATGCTCACTGGTGTTGATGTCATTAACAAAGAAGTGTTATTTGTCAAATTTTGTCCTGTGATGGGTTAAATAAGCTATCAAAGTACCCCATTAAAATGATGGAGTACTCTAAACTCCCAACTTCAAAACAGATAACTTTGGGGATGGTTGCTATGGATGCACTTTAGCCTTATCTTTTTTAACTCTCCACTTTCATTCCAGTCGCCTGTGTTGATGAATATGATTTAATTTTTGCTGTGGTAAAGACTAACTGTGTGCATGTGTAGACAGAAGAACAAAGTGAATCTGCAGCAACCAGTTCAGCGGCTATCATTTCTTGGCCAGCATTCCATTTCTGCCCCTGTAGTTCTCCCTGCCCCGCAATGTGACTTTGAAGCACTCTCAGATACAACATGTCCTTTCATTCCTCTATCAAGCTCTGAAAGAAAAAAAGCCAGGTGTGGTAGTACTTGCTTATAATCCCAGTGATTCAAGAGACTGAGTCAGGAGGACCACAAGTTCAAGGCCAGCCTCAGCAATTTAGTGAGGCCCTAAGAAACTTAATGAGGGTCTCAAAATAAAAAAATATAAAGGGATGGGGATGTGGCTCATGGTAAAATGCCTCTGGGTTCAATCCCTAGTACAAAACTAAGTAAATAAATAATAAAAGAAAAAGATTCTTTTTTTTAACACATCAATTTTCTTTTTAAATAGCCACTTCATTCACTAAGTGGACTCTTTACATCATAGTTACCTGAAATAGATTTCAACTGATTGCATTTATATTTTTCGTCTGTACTGCATCTGTTTAATAAAATGTAGTGTGTCTTAATCAAGTGAGAGAGGGCTGCTTTGTGATCCTGGGACTTTTATTCATATGCTACCTCTTTGTAAGATTAAAGTCTGCTCTTTTACAGAAATATTTTTCCTTTTTCTAAGATTTATTTCTGAGCCAACATTTGTTTATTCATAAAACAAATTTTAAAAAATACCATTACCATGTCCCACATTACAGATGCTAATTGCATTCATGAAGCTTTGGTTCTAGAACAAAAGCAGAGAAAAAAGCTGGAAGAGAGAAATAAATAAATGCTAAACTCAAATTATTCTAATGTAAATTTATCTTTTCAGGGATCTTTTAAGCAATAGAAATATTAAACTGGCTTCTTGCTGATGCTCTGCTGATTGGACTTTGCCCAGTAAATTTATAAGAATTTTGCTCAAGTTTAGAAATGGCTCTTATATAGAGAATAAAGAACAATGCCTGGATTCTGCCTGCTTCTCTGCCTCATCTCTGCGTACTGTCCTCATTTCTTATATAGCAGTTATGTCAGCATCTTTTGGTTACTTCAAAGCATGGAGCTCTCTCTCTCTCTCTCTCTCTCTCTCTCTCTCTCTCTCATCTCAGGACCTTGGCATATGCTACCCTTCATATTGAATTCACTGATTTTTAGGTTATAAATCATACTTTTTCAAGAGGCTTTATATGTTCACTCTTACATTCTCAAAGCCCTATATATATAACATATACATATATATGTAAATGTACATAAATATGAATATATATTGTATATATATATATATATATTGCAGCACTAGCCAAAGTTCATACTTACATAAAGATTTTCTTAATTATTGGTTTTAACCACACAATTTATTTCTGTAATATAAATCCCTGTGTGGATTTATTTTTATTTTTACTTACCACTGTTAACCACAATTCAAACCCAATTACATAGTAGATGTACCTATTACATAGTAGATGCTCAAAAAATTATCATTGAAAAGGGAATAAAATGCTTTTTAAAATTCAAAATAGAGCTGCGTGATAGCACATGCCTGTAATCCTAACAGCTTGGGAGGCTGAGGCAGGAGGATCATGAATTCAAAGCCAGCCTCAGTAAAAGTAAGATGCTAAGAAAATCAGTGAGACTCTGTCTCTAAATAAAATACAAAATAGTACTGGGGATGTGGCTCAGTGGTCAGATGTCCCTGAGTTCAATCCCCAGTACCAAAATAAATAAATACAATAAAATTCAAAATAGAGAAAATGTAGTACATGCACATAATGACATATTATTCAGTCATAAAAATTAATGAAAATCTGTTGTTTGTAGCAACATGGATGGATCTGGAAAGTATGACATAATGTTAAATAAACCAGGCACAGGAAGACAAATGCCKCCTGATCTCACTTATATGTAGAATCTAAAACAGTTCATCTCATAGAAGTTGAGAGTAGAATGGGGACTACCAGAGGCTGGGAAGAGTAGGGCAATAGAAACAGGAAGTGGGGGAGGTTGATCAGTGAGTACWAAACAGTTAAAACAGGAGCAAGGGGTTCTTGTGTGCTATCACACAGTACAGTGACCACAGATAACAAAAATGCCCTATATATTTCAAGAAACTATAAGAAGGGATTTTGAAAGTTTCACTACAAACAAATGATAAATGTTTGAGAAGACAAATATATTTAACCTAATTTAAACATTATGCGATGCACACATGTATCAAAATTTGCATGGTACCTCACTGATTAGTATAATTTTTATGTTTCTATGTATCCGTTTAAAAATAACAATTCTTTTTAATAATGGAGAGTAAAGTAAAATCCCATGAAAAAAAGTCAGAAAGCTACTCGTTTTCTCATGTTGCAGGTTGCATCACCCACGGACACAAGCAATTTCGACAGTTTTCCTGAGGACAGTGACGAGCCACCGCCTGATGACAACTCAGGCTGGGATATAGACTTCTAATGTATTTCTCTTACCTGCTTCTGCCTTGCTGAAGACAGCTTTTTCTGAGACACAGCTGCCAGCAAACTTGAGGGAAAGAGAGAAGATTAGTGCTCGGGGTCACCATGATGCCTTTGATCGATGCTGCTCCAGTAACTACAGTGGCATTAGGACTAATTGCTTAGATGACAATAGTGCTCTTTACATGTTTTCTGTTTGAACCTAAAATAGCAGTTGACATGGTGGTCCTGAAGCAAAGCCTTTCACCAGTAAAGTGATGTTTTCTATTGTTGCAACGATCTTGCTTTGCTCTGACTATAATTTGAAAGACTGTAGGAAGCACTTCAATCTAGTAAAAGAGTCTGTACCTTGCTAGATTTTTCAAGATGAAAGAATAATATATTGGTACGATAGATGACGATGGTACAGAACCTGGGCTATCCCCTTTTTTTAAATGAAGGTTGTGGAATCTATTACTGCAAGACGGTGTATATACCGTAGAAAAGAGGACCACACATCTGTGGGTCATGGAGTTCATGTCAAACCAGTGCTAGAAGTTTCATGATTTTATTTCCCAGCAGTGCTGATGACAAGACTGAATGTTACCTTTTCTTTCTGACAGATTTTAAAAATTGATATGATAAAAGCACAACTGCTATGGATTCTCCTGAGACCTTTCATAGCAGGTATATATGCGTTTTAGCAGAGGATTGAAAAAAATGCATGATATTCATTTCTTTTTGATAAATTGGCATGACAGAGTGGGGGRAAAAAGCAATTCACAAAACCATTTCATGTTTTAAAAAAATATTGTGCTTAAAGATGGTCCTGGAAATAAGTGACTAGCAGCCAATTGGTTTACCTATTTACCTAACATACCCTCAAACTGAGGCTTAAAATATTTCCTTTTATAAAAATAAACCCTTGAGTTAGGGGTGGGATAGGGTGGGGAGGGATTAAGACCCATCCAAAAAAAAACTATATAGGTGCTATGTATATCTTTCATCTGTAATGTCAGTGTCTGAACAGACAACACAAATTCTAAACCTTACATGTCTAGCCAGAGACTCAAGCATTTTCACTAAATTTATTAAACCAAACACCTGTCAGATTTCATTTACACAACATAGTCTAGGTTTGAGAGAAAAAGGTGATTTGGAAATCTTTTTGAACTAGCTTCTTGTCTTAGGCCTGAACCAAAAAAGAAAAAAAGAAAAAGAAAGTCAGAAAACACAATGTTAAAGTTATTAAAGTTCACAAAACCAGGAAGCTCACTCATTTGAGGTCAGGAAAGAAAACAAGAAATTGTCCAGGTGTTGATTACCTTTTCCTGAATAAGCCCACACATTTGTTCAAGTAGGAAAGGGTTAGAGAAGGAAAAAGGAACATGAGTTCATAACAACTGATTTTAGCTAAATAAAACAAATATTAGTGAACCTGAAATTTATACTAGACTAGAAATGAAAATATCAAACTGATTTGCTTTTTTTCACATAGAGAATCAGCAAATGAAACCAGGTCCGTTGGCGGCAGGCTGGTTGAACATTATTAGCTGTCAATAGCTGAGTTTTCTGGAAGCTTTTCCTTGACAGATAGCATTACACCTACATAGACCAATGTATAACCTTCAAAGCTGTCTTGGAACTGTGTGTGAATTTGGTATAATTAAGACAGGTTTGCTTTTTAAYATTAGAGTGTTTTACTAATCAATCTAATGTAGACGTTTCTGCAAAACTATATTGAATTGGCTTGTCATATCTTAGCCAAGAAAGTGTATATTATGAATTTTGTTTGAATTTTTCATACTCAAAAAACTACTTTAGAACATGATATCAAAATATACTCTAAAACATGTTCAGCATAAAACTACTAAGTTTGTATTATGTATAATTAGGATAAAATTTGATTAAAACTTTGATCCTAAGATATTATTGATATTATTGTTATTGGAACATTCCCTCCCTTACAAATTCTCAAAATCATTATATATATATTTCCAATTACCTCCAATGTTCAGTGATTTTTGTTTAAAGATTGTGTGGTGTAGGCATGCGAAAGGCTTGCTAGAATATTAAATTTACCTTGTCATTAGGAAAGTAAATCTGATCCTACAAATTTTCAAATATCACAAATGTCCCAGAAATTAGCACATACTGTGCATTTTGGACTATGGTTCACGTCTAAGACAACCCATTTGTAAAGTTCTGTGGAGAAGGAAGAAGTAGCATTCAGCACAACGTAACTGTAGATTGTTTTTCCCACCTGTACCTACATCTTTGTTCATTTCACCCATAACATTGCATCAGGATGTCTAAAGCAATCACCAAAAACTAAAGGTGAACTATATCTTCCAAGAATTAATAACAGAAAACATTCATCTGATCTATAATATTTAATTTTAAGGAATTAAATCTTGTCTTAATGAAGACACTAGGGCTATAATTCATGGTCAGCTTCATAAAGTGCATCTCATTTTACTTCTGAATTTTTCATGCCCCGTCTTTTTTCTTACATTAAAGAACATCTGGATAAGTTAGAATAGTGCCAACTTGTTTGTGAACTGACTTTCTTGTCAATATTTACAGTATGGGAAATAAGGGCTTTCTGTGTGTCTTGATTCACAGGAAAACTGAAAACTGCCAAGGAAAGGAACATCAAAGTTGAGATAGATTGAATACATTAGAGAAAATTATTTGTGGAAAATTGCTGTAATTGATTTTTATGTTTATTACCTTCCTTGTTATTACAGTATGAATCAGACCCATGTAGCATTTAAAACAAATGTATTTTGATTATATACTTAACAAATCATAGTTTTTACTTACAATTATAAATATACATGTGAATTTTACATGTATAATGATACATACATAACTATTGGATTTTTCTTGCTTCATTTTTAAATGACTGAACTGATGATGAACTTAAAGAAGTCAGCTACCATATTGACAACAAGGATATTAGAACTGATTTCATACAATAGAGGTGATCTGTGCATTATCCATAACACTGTTTTCTTTCACAATAGGACCACAGACAAATATTTATGTAAATAGATATTTTTGTGTGATATTTTGTGGTACATATAACTTTTTTTAGTGTTTCACAGCATTATTATTTTGTTTTATTTGTATTGAATAATGTTTTTAGGTCCAAGTAGACTTGAATTAATGTCATAATTGTCAGTATTATTGAAAACTATGTCAACAGTACTGTTATTCATCTGTCCCATAGTTTAGAACATGACCTGGCTATCTGGCATTGTTGCAAGTGCCTTAAATTCATGGCATCTGATTAAAAAAAACAAATTTGGTGTTATGCTGCATGACAAAGACAAACACACCTCAAAATGTTGTCCTTTCTTAGCTTGCTGCGTTTTACAGTTCTTTCTGCTAACAATTTATAAGCCTTTATTATATAATATTGATGAATTACAGAAATGATGAAGTTGTTCTCTTATTTCTGTTAAATGTACCAGAGCTGTGTATCTGTTAATGAGATACAGCGTCATTTCTGTGAAATGTATAAATGTATGTGCAGGTCAAATTAATATATGACATACTATCAGTCTGTATACAGGTATTCCTGTTTTGCTAAGCTGTGCAGATTCAGTGAAAAAGCAATTAGTGCAGTCATGTTCTAGCATATCTCATTTTATAGACTCCATTAACAATGGTCCAACCCAAAAGAAAATCAGAAATGACTGCTAACCACACCTCGTTCTGAAACCAATGATGAAAAAGTAACTTGGTGCACCACTCAACAAAACAGGATGCTTTCTTTGAGTTCTTGTATATGCAAATCATTTATGAGGCAAGTTTTCGACAGACCTGGAAAGCAAAACGTTGAAAGTATATTGTAAGCCCTCCTCTTTATCTGCCCCTGCATCAACAGACAGAGCTCTGGGACCTTGACCATGACTSAGAGGTTTGGGCTTTCTGAGTAAAGGGACATTTCTTTAAGCATCATCTATCAAATTTATTTCAATGTATGATGTTTTTACAACTGGTCAGTTCTTTTGTATTCTTACTGCTATGGTTATTTGATTGTCCTCTTAGAATTTGTTCTACATGAAAGAGTCCTTTGTTAGTCAGAATGCAACAAACTGTCATCAAATGGTCATTGACCACTTGCACTCTTTTGATGTAGATTAAAAACTTTTTCATAAACTTAACCTGCTTTGATTTGCTCTGTATTTTTCCTGCAGCTGTAATTGCTGAGTGCCTGTTGTATACTTTATAGAGTTGAAATAAAAAATAATTACTTTTGAACTTAGTTGCTCTTTAATTCCACATGAGATTTAAAAGATGGAATTGGTATATCATACTAGAAGGGAACTACCATGTGGTGCTATTGTAGAATATAACTACAATCATCTAGAAAATACTTCTACTCCATGAATCTTTCATGAAATAATCTAATCTGATCTAAAATCAATCTAACAATTCAGTTTAAAGAACTCAATGGGAATAACACTGGGCCACCTGGCAAATGTAGACCAAATGTAGATATCCATATGAAACCATAAATTAGCAGATTTCACTATATTACCACAAAACACTCCTTTGGGCATTTCTCATCAAACTCCAGAGTAGACAAGCAAAGGGAGGATTCCCATAAATTACTATATGCAAGGATGGAATCATTTAATATGAAAAGCAATTTACAAGTCTTTGTCCAATGTTTGTTCACTGGGTCCCTCTGTTAAACTTCATATACATAAAAGCATATAGTTTTAAAGAATATGATTATAACTCATTCAACTTTTCAAAACCCTGGTAAACAGATTATTCCTTCATCCTTTTGTTCCTCACTGCAGTAATGAGGCATACATTGAAATCTGATGCACAGCATAAAGATTCCCTCATTATGACTGCATTTGTATTGTTGACACCACATTGCCAATGATAGTGAGTTAAAAACCCTGGATAAAAGAAAACTAGAAACTTAGTCTAGTTTGCTTTCTCAGACAGAGTCAATAACATACTTTGGAAAAAAAATACTATATCAATATATCACATAAAATAATTTTATTTATTTTGAAAATTGAAGTGTAACATTTTAAAATATCTATCCTATAATTTCTTTAATTTTCACACTGTAGACTTAAGAATGTCTTTTTAAATTAACTACACAGTTTTAGGAGCAAAACGCAGATTAACAGTCACGATCACTTCAGAGATGGCAGTGAGGGAGGGTTGGCAATGGTGAGGACACTGCTCCCACCACTGTCACATTTGCACATATTAATTTCAATGCAACTAAATCAGCACACGATTATTCAACAATGACAATAGGATTCAACTGTAAATTTGAGAAGAATGAATTGGATTGTGTGTTCATCCAAGTTGATCACATTTTGCTTGCAGACCTAAACACAGATTCTCAGTTATAGCCTTAAAGATGTCACAAACAGCCACCACATTTAATATGCTTTTTTCAAGAGTTCTATTTAAATTTTTCCTCAGCATTCTATAAATTTTCAACTAAAAAAATGATAAATTGATGAAACATGAATGCTTCTCTCTGGAAGTTGTTTTGCACCCCAGGTGAATTTCTGGAGCAAAAGACAAATCCCTCCATATACCAACTATTGGAACTAAATGAGTTAACCCTAAATCTCATACCAAAAAAAAAAAAAAAAAAAAAGGGGGGGGGAAGGTGAGAGGAAGAGGAAGGAAAAAACAAGGCATAAAAACAACCCTAATGGGTGGCCAACGATTTCATTAAAATTAGTGAACAGATTCAGGCCATATGATCTAGGCCAGTATTTTCCAAACATTAATGCCATATGGTGTTTCTGGGAAATAAGCTACAGATTCCTGGGGCCATCTACTGTTACTTTGATGTATAACCTAGGAATGTGATAWTTTAACAGGCACTTTATTTTATTTTGATGGAGATTTTTATGTATGTTCCCCCATAGAAGAGAAATCAGAAAATAAGGTCCATTGGAAAATATTTCAGGAATGGTTGGGCAAAAGAACAAAATGGGAAAAATTTGAAATAGTTATGACTATCAAAAGCATATTAAATGCCTTTGAAAATACTAAATATTTATATTCCACTTATATAGATCTCATTCCTAATTAACATATTAAAATAGTATATTAATAATAAACTATTTTTAAGGAATAGATTTACATCTTGATTTACAATGCCCGAAAGTTATATTTATACCTATTTCTGGTATCTGGTAATTCAGGGCAGGATACTAGCAGTTAACTTGCATGAGGCCTTTCAGTCCTCTAGAGAAAAATGAGAATGGATTTAAGCTTCTGGCTCTCAGCTGGATTTTGACCTCAATTCACCAATGTCTGATTTCCCTCTGTGGAGTATTTCCGTTCTCCATGGAAGTTAGATTTAGCAATTTGACTTGCTTTGACCATTGAAAGGTGGATCTGTCACTTCAAGGAGAATCTTTAAGAGCCAATTCGTGCTTCATTATATTCTCTTTTTCCTCTAAGGTTGTGATGGGCAATTCATCAATAGTGGCTGCCCTGTCAGTTTCAAAAGAGAATGTGAATGGCAGTGAGCAAGAGCAAAGCACTTACTAAGGCTTTAGAGTGAAATACATGGTTTTGGACCACTAGGATTCTAGCTTTGTCTATTTCTGCTGCATGACCTTGCCTGTTTCAATTAGTAAAATACCACACACATACAGAAGAAAGACAAGGTCTGACCCAGCCTCTGCAAGTGTTTTGCCAATACAAATAACACACTTTCAGGCACAAGATACCAGAATAAATCTTAAGACCTTGAATCATAGTAAAGACTTGGTGAATTCATTCAAATGCATAATCTTTTGATAAAAAGAATTTCAAATGTGACATTGAAAAAATATGACATGAAAAAGGCAGACTTCAACTCAGTAATGGGCATAAACATTCTTAGGACCCAGGCCATTTAAAATTGGTGTAAAGAGTTATTTGGGAAATTTATGTGAAGACTCACTTTTTGAAGCACCAGGTTGAGTCATGAGAAACAATGAATCTAGTAGAAAGTATGTTAGTTATGAGATTGGGGGTTTACAGTTCCTAGGAAGAACAGGATTCCTGGAAAGATGCGAGAGCTACAGAGTTAAAACAATAAAAACAAGTTGGAATGGAATCAAAGTGCAACCTAACCTATAATTCTGATATATGTATCCCTTGTTAAGTAACACATGCCATAAATTGCTTTAAATTTGCACAGTTTTGTGAATTTCCCAAGGCTTTAGTTTCCTTATCCACAAGATTAATCTTTTTAGTAATTATTCTTTTTAGTAATACAATTGTGTGATTCTAAGTCACTTCATTTTYTGAATCTCTCTTTCCTTATTTTTTAACAGCAGGTATTGCCAAACTATAGTTCACGGACCCAATCTGGCTGGAAGTCTATTTGCAAATAAAGTTTTTATAGAACAAAACTAATAGATACCATCTATAGCTGCTTTCATGCTACAACATTTGAGTAACTATGTAGAAGCTATAATAGTTAATACCTGATCCTTTTCAGAAAAGCTTGTCAACACTTGATTAAAAGGGAAAACTTACAACGAACCAGTGGTTTTCATATGGAATTTTTCATAAAGACTCAGTTCACTGAGATGGTCTCTCCTAGGCCATCTGGATGGAATGACTAGAGAAACATGGGTTGAAAGAAAGGGACGCACAGTGAGTAGGCTCCAAGGGCTCCAGATTTCTAATTCTAATTCCGCCAAAGAAGTTCTAATATTATCTGTTCCACGACTAGGGATGTGATTGGCATTCATTCGTCTGAAGAAATGATTGTGCTGTTTTAGATCATATTTGAGGTTCTTTTCATGTGTGAGTTTCTATGTGGAGAGAAGCTAATGGCTTAATTTCATGATTCAACTGGTGATACAGGTGATTCACTTCATGAACAATGATCAGATTGAATGCTTGTAATTATACTCAAATTTACTTTAAAAAGATTGAGACTATATCAAACAAAATAAGTGATATACCAAAATTTGCACATTCCATACTACTACTTGATCTGTGTAAGTTCAAAGGTGAAATATTGTTTTTGCCCCCCGAGTTTTTGCATGTTTTATAACTTTTCTCACATACAGAAACAGCTTCCATTTAATACATATATTTTTAAATCTTCCTTTCTTATTGGGGTCCAGATTATCTTTGAAAAAAAATGTCAATATATAGGAATTTCCAGTTCCCATCAACCACCTCTGATTCCCCTAAGAATGCAGTCAAATTAATGAGGTCACTTCCCAATGTCCTTTAAAATCAGCCCTGAGTCTTTGCTTGACTTCCAGCCTTTTGCAACTACTTAGAGTTGTACATAGAATTTTTTATTCCTTTTTATTGTCTTACTTTTCAATGGCCATCTCAAGTTCTACAGATCTCMGAAAAGGCATAACTACCTTCAAAAAGCTTTTTCTGACATGTTTAAGATTTTTTTGTCAATAAGCCCTTGTCCAAATTCCGAATATTGACATTAATTTTTTTTTCTTAAAATAGTGGATAAGGAGTCTGCAAAACCTGATTTTTTTCCATGCTGTTCATCATCTTTAGGCCATCAGGAGACATCAGAAAGGTAATAAGTCTACTGGGATTATAGAAGGATTTCTTGGAGGCACAAT